TGTTTATTTATTTTTGAGACAGAAAGAAACAGAGTGTGAGCAGGGGAGGGACAGAGAGAGAGAGAGAGAGAGAGAGAGAGGGAGACACAGAATCCCAAGCAGGCTCCGGGCTCCGAGCTGTCAGCACAGAGACCAATGCAGGGCTCAAACTCACGGACCGTGAGATCATGACCTGAGCTGAAGTCAGACGCTTAGCCACCCAGGCACCCCTAACCCAGTGATTTTCAAAGTGTGGTCCCCAGACTTCCCGCCTGGGGATCGCTGTGGGGGTAGGGAGACTGCCTAGATGCAGATGGCCGGGTCCCGTGCCCAGGTCCCCATCCAGCCCCACTGGGGGAGGGCCCAGGACTCTGCATTTCCACTTGGGGCCCAAAGGCTGGAGTTTGTCTGCCTTTGGAAAGGGCTTCTGTGGAGTCTGTGTTTGCATCTGCCCGAGAAGGGGACACAGCCCAGTAGGCTGGACCACATGCAGGGGAAGTGACACTCTGGGGAGGCGTCACAGGTGCGACATGACCGGGTTAGGGACGCAGAGGAAGGAGCAGGGCCCTTGGGAAGCGGCGGCCGAGGACTGACTTCTGGGGAGGGGGCCCCGAGGGCCAGGGGGCTTTCTGCGGGGCGCAAATGCGGGAGGCAGCCCTGGGTGGTGGGGGGAAGGGGCGGGCAGAAGCCCCCTACCCCTGAGCCCCTGCTGCTGACCCCCAGCTGTGGTGGCACAGGAACCCCGGCGCTGTTAGTGGCTCACCTTTGCCTCGCCACCCTCCTCTTCTGACTTTCCTTCCGGGCAGCCGGCTCTGCCTGTGGTCACTCGGGATGACCGGGCGCGTTGAGCAAGCGGCAGATTATTTCTGGGTCTGGTTTGCAGCCCCGCCCTCTTACAGGAGCAGGGGCACATCTTAGAACCAGTTGTGAAATGTCGGCCACGCTTCCTGCTGGGGGAGTGGGGCCGATTCCAGGTTCCAGAAGTCTCCATACCGCCCTTCTCTCCCCTCCCTTCCCCTGTACTCCCCTCCCCATCTCCCTTCTTCTCTTTCTCCACCCCCACCTTTCTCTCTCCCTTCCCCCTCTCTTCTCCTCCTGCATCATCCCCCTCTTTGGAGCAGTCCATGCCCCGGGGATCTCCGTAGCCTGGTTCGGAGGCCTCTTAGGAGGACAGGGGCGGGGGTGGGCTTGGGGCACTTGAGCCGAGATCTGAATTGTAGGGCAGCCAGGCAGGCAGGCCGGGATTTGATCTGGGAGAGAGTGCTTTAGGTGGAGGATGTGGTGAGTGCCAAGGCCCTGGGGCAGGGTGGGGGATGTCCTCATGTCCTAGGGCAGCAGGGAGGCCGCAGGCTAGATGGGAGGGACAGAAGAGGCTGGGGGGGAGCAGGGCCAGAGGCTCAAGGCTCTGCTGGTGGGAAGATGGGAAGGGTTTGTGTCTTAGTTTATCTGATAATGGAAAATAATTGCAGCTGTACCATCCAATACAGCCACGCAGTTTTTGTTCTGATTTAACTTAAATAAAATTTAAAATCTAGTTCCCACGGATGCCCTGGCCACATTTCCAGAGCTCGACGGCCCCGCACGGCTGGCAGCCGCCCTTCAGGACACCGGATGGCACTGCCTGGGGGGTGCCGAGAGCTGGGGCAGACAGCGAGCCAGAGCTCAGTGTCAGGGACCCCCCCGGCTCTCCGTGGACCAGAGAATGGTCTGGAGGGGGGGGCGTGACCCGGGGCCCCGGGGAGGGGTGCCACGGTGGGTGGGGCCTGGTTTTACAGCTCACTGGTGGACCCACGTGCCGTGTGGTGCAGGGAGGTGTCCTTGGTCTGCAGGGAGGAGGCTGGGGGCCCTTCTGGAAATGGGACAGAGGCGGAAGGGTGAGTTTGGGGGCAGTACGGTGGGTTCTGGGGGGCCTGCTGACACTCGAACGCCCCCGTCTGGAGCTCGGCGGTGGGAGAGGTCGGGGCTGGAGGTCACGGTGACTCCCGTGACTTTGCTGAGTGCTCGCTGGGCGCTGGCCCCTTCCAGACCTGACCCTGCAGCTGCTGGCCGTGCGGAGGAAGACGGGGCTTCCGGACCCCAGCCTGCGGCGGGCAATGCGGGCCCGGCTCCGCCTGCTGGAGAATGACAGCCGGGAAGTGGCCAGCGTGCTGGGGGTGAGTCTGGCTCCTCTGGGTGGAAGACGAGCCCGCGGGAGCAAAGGAGCAGGGAGGCCAGGGGTGGCCCCGGGAGGAGGGGGAGGTCCAGACGGCACGCGAGCACCAGCGCGGTGCCCCGGGACTGGCCGCCCTTCGTGGGGCCAGGCGAGCGGCCGAATCGCGCGGGCCGCTTACCGAGGGTCGGGCTCCCGATTAGAAGAGTGGCTTCCATCGTCAGCGTGTCAGGTGGGGCCCTGGTAGCTCCGCTTCCCCGGGACCCACGACGCTGCGCCTCGTACCTGCTGGTGTTATTCCAACGCCCCATCACCAGCAGGGGAGTTAGCTCACGGGACGGGGTCACCGAGAGTGGGGCCCAGGGTCTGAGCCCCCAGGGGCTCAGGGAAGGAGCGGGGCTGGGCAGAGGCACCGGGGAGCCACGGCTGGCTCGAGGGCCCCGGCCTCGGGCTGTCAAGGAATCGGCTCTGTGCTTCCGCCCCCGCCTGGGTCATTTCTCACGATGTTTCTGTCGAGCGGCTCCGTCCTCCCGGCCGTCGGATGCCTGACGGCCCCCGGGACTGTTTCTTCCCCATAAGGAGCTATCGGCCAGGCTGCTGTCTATCCACAGTGACCAGGACCGGATTGTGGTGTCGTTTAAGACTTTCGAAGAGATCTGGAAGTTCTCCACTTACCACGCTCTTGGTAAGGAGGTGACCTCCCCAGAGCTGGTTATGGGGAACACCCCGCCCCCCCGAGGACACTTGTCACACGCCTAGCATGTTATATCATAGATCAGGCTTCAGGTTAGGGTTGCTCACGACGGCCCGGGCAGTGGGGCTCGCTCACCTGCTCTTGGGGGGGGGAAATGGCGTGATGGGTGGGGACACAGAGGCACGCCCGTCTGTGCCCGCATTTGGGCCGCGCTCCGAGTTCCTCCCAGCGCTGCACCGTGTGGTAGCTTTGCACGGCCAGACCTCAGGGGACGCTGAGCTCAGACGGGCTCAGCACAGACCGGGTTATTTCCAGCTCGTCCAAAGCGCTCTGTTTCTAAAACACCCCCAGCCCGCTGGGAGGCATCCGCGAGGGTCTGGCTGCGTCCTCTCGGGGACCTTGCCCCACCACCTGGGTCTGAGGACAGACAGAGTGGACAATGAGAACAACGGTGTCTTGCACACCTTGAGCGGGGCCTGTGCCAACCCCCCAGCACACTCGACCTCGAAGGCTCTTTTCCCGTCTCAGAGACGAGGAGACGGAGGGTCACAGAAGGCCAGTGTGTCGCCCACGGTCACGGCCGGTCCACTCACAGCCCGGGTGGTCAGACCTGGGGCTGCCTGGGTTGTAGACGGAACCGCAAGGCCCCAGGGCAGGGCAGGGCTCCCC